TGATCCATCACATAAAATTCAGATTAAAAAAACATTGAACTAAAGGCTGTAATGTAACAAAATAGGTAAAAAAGCCAAGGGGGGTGAATACTTTTGCAAGGCACTGTAGCTAACAGACTGTAGAGGAACAAGCTAACTATGGCTCAACAAACACAAACTTTAATGCGAGACAATGCAGTGTTCAATTCTGTATTTGCTGTGTGAGGGATGAATGTTTAGATCACCTGGAAACTATGAATCACCAAGTAAACAAAGAAAATAACCCAGAAGATCAATTTGGTAATTCAGTCCACAGATTGACGAGTTTGTACTTCTTTGAACAAAAATACCTTAAATGAAAAGTCTTTTTTAAAATCCTATAATTTGCCATTAAAAGGTCCAGTATGTAACATTTAGGAGGATTATTTTTCGGCAGAAATGAAATAAAATGTTCATAGGTATGTTTTCATTTGTGTATAACTAAATCGTTGAATGTTGCATATATTTTTCAAGGTATAAATACTGTCAAAAGTTAGGTTTCTCAGCAAGCTTTATTTTGAAAGTCTAATCAGATGTTGCATATTGTGGAGCCCTGTATGTGGAAAACTGACACTAGGGCCACTGACCAAGTTGCTGTCTGTGCCCTCACTGTTACCGTCCCAGGCTAAAATTATGTTTCTAAAATGAAGTTTACATGCGTTTAAACTCTTAAAAAGGTACACAGCCGCACTTTCTACCTGCTTCCCTCCCAGCTCTCTGATGTTTGTTGAGGTTTTGAAACTCGACACCCTTCACAGCCGACCAGACGTCCACCAAAGTGCTTTAAAAGTTTAGTTTTAAACCCCATGAAGCCTCATTACTGCAGAGACAGAAGGATCCACTCAGACCATGGATCAATACTTCAATCGATCAGCGTTTCCCCCGGTGAACCGGTGTCTGTGTTACTTACAGTATATCTTTTAGAAAATTCTAATATGTTTCTGTCTCGGCCTCTCCTGAACTGGTTATTGTCTGCCTTTCTTCCCTCTTGTTTTTTCATTTATTTTCTGTCATTCGTTGAGCTGGTTGTCTTTGGTTTTGACAGGAGGAGAACCGCACACACACACACACACACACATATATATGTATACACAATGCACAAGTGTGTGTGTTACATAACGAGCTCTCTCCTCGTCTTGAAGTGACACTAAAATAGCTGCTTCAGCTTCACACTCTGTCTTCTCTGTGTCTTAAAAAGCACCAATTAGAGACATTTAATCAGTGCGCCGGCTGTCCGGGCGAGTTACACTCAGTTACAGAGAGAGAGAGAGAGAGAGAGAGAGAGAGAGAGATTGTCCTCTGGGGGTTTCTAGAAAAAAAAAACGTATTAAAATGAACTGCAAAAGCCCCAAATCCTCTCTAGAAACACAAGTTCAGCTCTCAACAGTTAATTTCACTTCTTCTAATGTTTGCCAGTGTGGTAATTTTCAGAATCATTGTTGCATTAAGACGATATTAAAGCTCAAACAGAGACACATTATATGGTTTTGGGCCGACTCAGCCTGTACCACAGCATTAATGGTTGCCACTTGCTTCGCTGTCATATGAGCTCTGCCCTCTAACAGGCTTACAAGTGGTAATTGCTTGGGACAAGTTCAGCCACCCACCGCCCAATCGCGATGCACCATGCAGAGAGATGGTAGGAGCACCTTTCCTGTCTTATCTTTTAGGCCATGAACAAATACACTACATTTATCTATTCATGTCAACCCAACAGTCTCACTTAGGGATGCACCATATGTTGTGATGTGATAACCGATAATTACTTGTTTCTCATGGCCGATACCGATGAGACAACCAATAATTTCACGTTTTGGCATTTTAAAGTTCGTAACTTGCAGTTTTTAAACACTTAGATAAAGGCTAAGCTGTCATAACAAACTAACTGATATCACTGTTGTTAACGAAACAGAAACAGTTCTGACTTTTCGTTTTGCATAAGAATTCAAAATAACCTATATTTTTATATAACAGATCATTTACTGGCTGTAATTTACTTATCCAGAAAATTCATAATAATATAAATTTCCCATTAATGGATGATCATTTATCTGCCCAGATAATTATTGTAGTCTCTCTGTTCCACGATGGACGTTGTCTGAACCTGAAAGCTGAATCACTCCGACTATAAATTTGGTTAAAAAGTAATTTTATTTTAGAAGCTTAAAGGTTGGAACAAGAATAACGTATTTATTCCACCAAGGTGTTTTAATGGCTTCATACCTGCATTTCAGAAGTGGAGCATTTTGCCTGCCCAAATTTGCTGACTTGCACAGATTTTGTTATTTTGGACATAACTTCCTTGGATTTCTACTTCTACTTCTAATCAAGCAAGTTCATAGCTACCCTCTAAATGTTCTAAATTACATTTAAATCTCTGGTACGTTCATATCAAAAACACTACTCTAAAACAAAAATTGAGCGACTAAATACATAATAAAAATTAGAATATTTTAAAAATTGCATTGCTTGCCATGTAAGACCCTCCCTGGTCATTTTGTATTAACATTTAATGGCAGTGTTTAAAAAACAAAACTTTGCTACAAGAACAAAATTAGGATGGGTATAGGGACTGTATGGACAGCAACAGAACAGCCCCCTACTGGATTCACCTCGTTTGACCCTTATCTGAAACTTTGGCTTGTCGGGGTTTTTGATCCTGTACTCACTGGCTCACTGACGTCAGCTAACAAACTGGTATACCCTGAGAATTCTGACACTGGAGTCCGTATTCGGTGGTCGACCTCTGCCCCAGGATCGCTGCCATAGCCCAGAGGGGTCCGCCGCCCTGATTTGAACTGGGAGCCAAAAGCCTGGGCGAAGTTCTCGATCTGATACGTAGTTTCTTTAGGGGGGTTCAGTGGGGACAGGTCTGGGTAGCTGGAGCCGTTGGTGGGTGCAGAGCTCACTCCGGCCTTGGACTGCTGCCCCTTCGAGCCCTCCGCCGAGGCAGTCAGGTCCTGGGGAGGTAGGTTGAAGGTGCCAGGGGAGTGCTGCTTCTCCAACTGCTCAGTCAGCTCCTGAGAAGGAGTCAGCTGCTGGTGGCTGGTAGAGTCCAAGCTGAGGTGGTAGCCTGCCTGGGAGGGGGAGCCAACGAGCATGGCATAGTGGGACTTGGAGGAGGACGAGGAGGAGGTTGATGAAGGGGCGACGATGGGCAGTGGGGAGGAGACAGCGGGAGGGTAGCCACAGTCCAGTGGCGATGTGTTGTACACGTGTTTGTCGGAGAAGAGGGGCCCTGTGGGACTGGAGCTGCTGGACAGGAGTGGGAAAGGCCCTGTTGGACCGAGGCTGGGGAAGGGTCCGCTATGGCTGGTGCGCTCCAGGGCCTGTAGGAGGAACTTTGAGTACTCGCTCATCACTGCTGTCTTGTCACCACCGTTGGGCGAGTCATCCTCCAGTTCAGGAGTAACAGGGGCTGCCGGCTGGAGGTCAACGTGGTGTGGGTGGTCTGATAGGTCGAAAGTCACGTCGTGGTGGTGTGTCCCCTCTGGCTTATGGCTATAATGGTCTAGCAGGCTTTGCAGTACCTCATCTGGAATGCCCGACTTGTCGTGCTTGAGTTCCAAAGGCGAGGAGTCCAGCATGGCCAGCGTGGGCTCAGGCCCCAGGGAGCCCTGGATTACACTACTGCCCTGGGTTGCCATGTGCAGTGAGCCAGCCCCATAGTCACTGTTAACTGCTTGGAGGTAGCGCCGCTTTTTCACAAACTGCATTGCATCATCGTAGTTGCTGCTGGTGGTCGCACCCTGCTTGTTGCCCCCGGCACCCTGGAGTAGACCCATGTTATCAAGGCCAGAACTATCCACATGATCCATGGAGCCAGTCTTCTGGCCCAACCGTTTTTGTACGTCAACGTCTTCCAAAGAGAGGAGGCCCTTGTCCATGCCCTTGCGGCCAGCTTTTTTAAAGACCAATTTGGGAGTGCGTCCCTGCATGGCAGGGCCAGAGCCTGAGGGGTGCTCCATGCTGAAGTCCTGAAGGCCCAGGTCACGGGCCATCCCCCCAGAGGATGAGGCTGCTGCCACTGATGCCGAGGCATTCTTCTTCCTCTTACCGCTCTCACCGTTTTTAGACTTGGCCCTTTTGCGTCCGGAGGTGGTAGAGTTTCCCTGAGTGAGTGAATAGCTGCCATGGCCTAGCTCTGCTTCGCTGAGCTCCAGCATGCTTGGGTCCAGGCCCTTCTTTATGGCTTCTCCACAAGTCCGTTTGTGCTTCAGTAACCGGTCTGTTCTTGAGAAAAACTACAAGTGCACAGAGGGGTGACAGATGCAGAAAAGAGAAATATAAGCTTAGTTCCCACTGTAAGGACAGAAGTACTTTTAAAACCCTATAGATTTTTTATTTTAGTAACAGTGCCTAGTTTATATGACCATTGAGTTTCATGAGAGAACATTATATTCCCTGACCTCTTCTTTTTTTTTTAAAGATTTAACTGTGGGAAGACAAAATGTAGAATTCACCACATGCTGCTGATGACAATTCATGTTGCTTACACACTCAATTCATTAAAAGGATCATTTAAAAAGCATTAAAGCCAACTGGCAAACCACATCACAATAAGAGGCAAAGCAGTGGTAAGCTATTTAGCAAACAGACTACATGTAGCTTACTTGTTGGCAGGTATCGCAGCGATATGGCTTCTCGCCACTGTGTGTCCTTTTGTGTCGTTCCATATGGTACTTCTGGATAAAACGCATGTTACACTGGTCACAGCTAAAAGGCTTCTCTCCTGCAAAAGACAGAGGTGATTGTGTTAGAGCTTGTGTCACACCAACAATGTTTATATAAACTGATACTGGTGGCATTCATTCCAAAACACTTCTGTATCCAAGAGCAGAAACTCACCACTGTGGATCTTCTCATGCCGCTGGAGCAGGTACTTCTGAATGAAGCTCATGTTACACTGACTGCACCGGAAAGGCCTCTCACCTGTGCGATCAAGAGTACAATCATCCACACAACACATTAACGCCCAGCCTGTCATACTTTACTATGTGGTCACAATGACAATGAACCTCTGGCGTTTGGCAAAAACCTGTCCCATGAATACACATTGAAAGCCTGTGAGACTCACATTACCAACATATGTTGAAGAAACCATACTGAATTGTGTATTGATAATATTTTCAGATAGATATAGAGATATATTTTATACAAGAAAAACATGTGTACCAAGACTGCAGAAACCTCAGGTTGTATAAAAAAAAATAAAAAAAAAAAAGAGAAAAAAACCCCGAATTTTCCTTTTAATCATTTACAAGCTCAAGTTCAAAGAGCCATGTGAGGAATTCCCAGCAAAGAGAATGACTAAGACGTCCAGAAACACATGAGTAACCACTGAGTCATCCCTGGCTTAGCAATTGTCTGGTTTCAAATAGGGCCCCAAGTACTCATGGTGAAGTGGAGATAAGTAACCTTGGTTATACCAGATTCCATGTACATTGATCTGGGTCTGTATATTCAAATTAAAAATTACACCAGGGATCTTCAACACAATTGATTAATTCTAGGAAACTGCTGATGGTCTGAGGAACAAGTAAAGCAATGACAAGCAGCGAAAGTCTCTCACCTGTGTGTATGAGCACATGCCTGCGCAAGTGGTAGGAGCTGCGGAAGGCAGCATTACAGTGCTCACAGATATGTGGTTTTGAGCTGGGGGACAGGCAGGCACCATCTGCATCCAAACTCATGGCCTACAAAGAGAAAACAGTACAAGTTAAATACTGATGACGTTAGCGATTTTGATCTGCTAATATATTCCAGCCAAACAACACATATTACTGGTGTAGAGATGGAGATGAAGAAAACAGATCAGTGATTAACCTTTGCAGCATCGTTGCGTTTCCTTCGTACTTTGACACCCTGCCCGTCCCCATTGTTCCTCCGACCTCTTCTACCTGAGGCCTCTTTTGGCTCTTTACCCGATCTTCCAGGCATCTAAAGACAAAAACAAGGTAAATATACCACATAAATAAAAGCCTGTACATTACAATTCCTGCATGAGCAGTAAAGGAGGAAACAATATTTAGAACCACAACCCCTTCTCACCGGTTCTCCAAGGGAACGAACGTTGCTGAGGCTGATGTCGTGCAGGAGCATGTTCTGGTGATTTTGGTGGTGGTTGCCGAAAGACATGTCCGGCATGTCACTACCACTCTTCCCCGCGCCCCCTCCAGCACAGTTCACCCCTACTCCTCCACCCCCGCCATAGAGGGGCATGCGGTAATCCAGCTCGCTTAGCCGCTCCTGCTTAATGCCCATGCTGTGGAGGAAGCCCCCTGTGTTCACAGCGCCCTGGTGTTCTGGGGGCGAGTCACGTTCTTTCTTCAGGATCATCTCCTGGGGAAGCTCGCCCATAACGGACTGGGAGGCCAGCCGTGTGAAGCTGGTGACGGGTGGCAGGTGACTGAACATGAGCATACCTGGTGCAAAATTGGGGTCCATGCCACCGTTGCGCAAAAACTCATTGCCTAATTTGTCTTGGATAATACTCATGGTGGTGGTTTTGCTTTGTGCAGGGGAAGAAGGAGGGCAATCAATCTAAAGAGGAATGCAGGAGAAGAATATCCTGAAAGAGAGGGAAGACAAAAAAAAGGTTATGCAAAGCATCAACGATTTCAAACATGTATGAATATATATACAATCCAAATGAATTGTCACATTGTAGTCCAAGTCTTTATTATAACATCTCGTCTCTTACTGGTTTCGTCTAGTTAAGTAAATTTAGCCACAGCTGCGTGGCCTTCACAGTGTGTACTGTGTACACAACAATGTTCCATGAATTTCCTCTTAGTCGGCCATTAAATACTTAATTGGATTTATTAGGCTTTACCAAACGGTGGCACTCGGTACGATATCTGAAAACCTTGATAAACCCTTTGCACAAAATGCATTTAATTTCACAAAGAAAAGACTCTAAATGAAAATACCTCATGTTGTGTAACTTTGTGAAATAAAGCAACGCATAATGAAACATTTAACTGTGAATAAATACTGTTAATACTGTAATTTCCCAGCTTGGGATCAATAAAGTATATCTATCTATCTATCTATCTAATACTTTCTCAGTGTGTAGTAGAGATAATACAGAGACACTCAATATACTGTACACATTACTAACAAAAATCAGGCAATTACTGATCATTCTACTTCTTTATCTCAGCCAGCAGACTTTTGGCACAGCTTACTTAACATGCCAAAGATTAAGCGCTATTACAATCAGTTGCTCGGCCATCTGAGCTTGAAAGTGAAAACTTCAAAAGCTACATTAGTTTATAGCTTCCATTAAATATACAACTTATTGAAATAAAGTTTTAAATATAAGATAAATGACTGCAGTCAATTGTTACATACATTAAGAATGAATCATATCGATGATCTATGGTTTTGTGACGGTTTGGTGAAGTGACTGTAAAATTAAAATCTGTAAAACGCGTTCAACAAACTACCAAAAATCCCCCTCGTAAATATTGACTCCACGTTTCGTATTGTTCTACTTACACATTTAACCCCACGCGTGACTTGGATTGCAGCCAAAATAAAACCTGTTTGGGGCAGACATCGCTATTGTTTTCGCACTTTGGTGCATATTGGACAACGCCACTTGCCACCTTTGCCTAGCACTAACCCAACGTGAATGCAGAAGCTGGGGGCATCGGTTGCAGTATTGCCATAATAATCGGTTCACTACACTTGCCTAAAACAAAACGATATTTGGGTCAAATCCAGCCAGACAACAAAACAATCCAGTCATTTTTTTTTAGGAAGGCGCAGTCGGGTGACTAAGCGGTGACTTGTATCGAGGCGAGCAAAGAAAAAAGACTGGAGTGAGGATGTATTGTTTAGTCTAGCCCAGCCGACCATTTGGCTACGCGACGGCGCACTGAACAGAAAGCGGATGAGCTTTTGTGATGCATAATAGTTAGCCAGCTAGTTAGCACGGTTAGCTAGCTGGTTAGCCACAATGAGACACAATCAACGCATCTGTGCGTCCTCGACCAAAACAACCGGCTAAGATGCCCCTTAAAGCACAACCAGCCCCTCGAATAAAGTCACAGCAACGGCCAAAGTTATGTAGTGTGAAATAAACCGCACTTGGAGTCAATATATTTCCAATTTCGATGCGTTATGACCAATGTAACGTAACGTTTAGCCTGTCGCCTAATGTTGCTACCACGACTAGCTCACGCTAAAACAGGATCCCACGACTCGATGCCATTAACGCGTGTAAAGACTATTTCAACGACAAATCATCGTGGGAAGTGGGAGGAGGGGGCAGAAACATATTAAAACGAAACAGCACGAAATAGATTTTAAAAAAATAAGGTTAGGTTAAATTAAATAGCAAGTTTCTGCTTTTAAAGTCCGGTTCAGCGGCACAACTCGCTCTTTCTCCGGTTCCCAGGCTTTGATGACGCTCGTGAAATCAAATCTGTCTGGCTGCGAGCGACGCTGGCGCTCTATTTATTGTTAGCTCGCTTTAGCTGTAATTACAACCGGATAACGCTTACCAGCACGCCGAGCTGGCGAAACATTCCTCGGCGACTGCGCTACATGTGGGACTTCAAGATCAAATGGCCCGAGCTAAATAAAACCCGCACGCTCTAAAAAAAAAAAGCAGCTGTGTTTATAACAATCAAGCTGCCATGAGCTAGCTAGTTAGCTGCTAGCTGCGCCCCCCCTCCCCGACTGAAAACCCGCATTACGGCCCATGCAACAGAAACAATGATGCTGGGTCTCAGTGCATCTCCCGTATGCGCCGAGCCACACAATTCCGTCGCTTAAATCTCGACAAAGCCGCAGCACTCGCCGCGAATAAACGCCAATTTAGTTCCCCACTCACCTACACATGACCGCAGTTGGTTTCAAACGTGCCTGTGTTCTCTCCGTGTTCGCCGCTTTGGGGTTTTATTGCCAAAACATTGTTCTCCGGCGGTCGCTGCTTTCTTCCATCTTGTCTTGGCGCGGGGAGTTATGGGTGCTGCGGACGGGTCGTGAGAGGAGACCTATGGAGGAGAGACAGGCGAAGGCTGCTGAGGTTTGCGAGAGCCTCGCTGAACAACGCGAGTGGCCCCTGTGTGCTCTATAGTAATGTAAACACACCGGACACATTAACATGAACAGATACCGTAATGAGGAGAGACATGGCGTCATGCGACTCTTTGTCTTTGCTTGTAATCCAGGACACAAGGAAATATACATTTAGATATCTACTTACATTTTATTTATTTTTTTAAAAGGTATTTAGCAAATTATTTACCTGTAAACTTGTATTTTTTTTAGTTACTTTTGTGTTTATTATTATTATTATTATTATTATATTTTTGTTTTGTTTTTCTGGTTTTGCACATTGCGAGTTGATATTGGTATGTTGGTATTATGTGTGTGGATATTGACCCCAATGATCCCATTTTAGGCATCCAGTAGCTTATACGACACATATAAAACACCAATACACACAAGAGTATAAGAATAAAAGAAAAAAAGCAAGAATTTAAGATTAAAAACACAGCAGTGAAGTGATAGTCTAGCCACCAGAACTACCTCAGAGAGCTGTACATGTGCTACGTAAGGTGATTGAAAAGTAAAAACAGTGCAAGAATAATAATTACAGTGGATAGTATAAAATGCAAATTGAAGCTATATTAACAAATATAAGAGCAGATTGTTCATAAGGCTAACGCGGCCAGCTACTGACGGTCCAGTAAATATAAGGTGATTAAAAAAGTATAATGATTACTGTGGAGAATAACCTTGTTTTGAAGAACCTAATAGAAATGCTATATTACATTAAATGAAATGCAATGTAGTACATTTTCCCAGCCACTAATTTTGACCCTTTTTCTTAAACTTTAGTAACAGTAAACCATGGTGACAATTTAGGTTGTATTTTGTATGTATAATTCCATCATTATATGCTTATTTTAATGTTTTTGGTCCCTCTATTCATGGGCCTTTTGTCAAAGTGGAAGCACAGCATGATATTTACGATATCCGCTCTTTGGCAAACCAACTGAGACACAGACATGTTCACAAAATTAGCATGCATTGATCTGACTTTTACTCCAGATATCTCAATATCAGGGGTTATCTGCTGATACTGATCAGGTAACATCAGGTAACATGAGGCTAGGGATTGTAGTCAAAGTCAGCAGCCTGCCATGACTGAAAAGTAGTGGAAACCAATGAGTATAACTGCTAGTAAATGTGGATCAGTCACATTTGGTGGGCTGCATGATGAACTTAAATAAGGTCAGTATTTTGGTGCCGATCCGGTTTATCAGATTGGTGCATTTAATACACAAAAAATACAGCACTGGATTACCACTGGGGCCAAGAGCAGACAGCGTCCTGGATTCCAGGAGCCTGCGGGACCCAAAAAAAGGCCCCCCCAGCTTCAACAGTGAATTGATTTCAGGTTAATTTGATTTCATCACAATATCATCAGGGAATTTGATCCCACTATAGGTCATTGTCATTATTGTGATCCTATGTTGTTGTCCTAACATTTTAGAAGGCCCAAGGTAAAAATTAGCTTTTAAGACCATTAGTTATATTTTTGTTTATATTGTCCTCTCACTCTCTATTTCCTAAATTAAGGCGATGGTGTTGAATAGGGCCCAGTTTTAGCCCAGGGTCATTAATGACAAAAAAATCCGCATGCAGGAAATAGAGGCTCTGTAACTCTTTCTGTTTTGTTAGCCTGTTCAGAATATTACAATGGTAAGTCTCTTATTGCCTTAGATTGAATAAGAGTGTTATAGATTCACCACAATGGGAAAGTGTGAGTTTTAAAATGTTGAAAGACTACATTTGTAGCTTGGTAGAACTTGGTTTATTTTGATTCTTACACAAACAATCCTTGAGTGCTTGTTCTTTTCCCCATTGATGCATTTTTATTTGATATTTAATTATCAGCAAGTATTTAATAAAGTTGAGACACTGTTTGGATTATATCCAGTCATACAGCACATAACTTTTTTTTCAAGAATCAAGAGCAAAACAATCTTTGGACAAACATCTCGCCTTTAATCATCTGAATGAATACATGTGGTATTCATTATTAACTTGTAATTGACGAGTATGGACTTAATAACTTAGTCATGAGTACATGGCATGTGAGTATTACATTTTGCTCCTGAGGAGCTTAAAGCGTTAAAGAGATAATTTGATAAACAATAAATAAATAAAAATCAGTTCAATGTGACTGTGGTGCATTACATTTGAGCTGACTCATCAGATCACTCCCCTGTTACAGATACAAGTATGCAGAGTCATCATACAGTACATCTGTTAGGTGAATCATAGCATATTTCTGATAGAAATGAAAAAAACACTTCAATCTGATGCACCAGTGACTGTATGGAGGTTGAAAATAACAGATATAACCATTGTGTTACTTTGTGGCCACGGTTCACTTCCCACATTCCATGCCCTCTGTTCATACATCACCACTGTCATTATGTCCAAATCCAAAAACTTCAGCCAGTAAAACTGTGTTTTTTTCCCATTTTGTTTTCATGGCCTTTAATTTTGTATACACACCAACTCATTGCGTGGAGCGCTTCATTTCCTGCTGCTCTGGGACTAAATCCAACTGGATCTGTCCCTCCTTCTGTACGCCCTATCAGCCTCATATTCCTTTATTTTCATTTTAATTAAAACAACAAGACCAGTAGGCTGTTTTCAGAGTGTGAGATGATAAATGGGCAACCATGAAGCAGCTACAGATGAAATCACAATGTTGTAAAAATTCTTCAAGCATTCCAGGTTGATATTCATCTTGGGGCTTGTGCCATTACCTGCTTTCACAGAAGTATGATACAATCTTATAATTTAAGAAAATACACAGAACAGATACGGCGTTGACCACATCACTGTTCTGCAATGTTCCATATTCCAATTTTGTAAATAGCTTTGAAAACAAATTGCCATATTAATTTGAACATTCCCACAGGGCACTGGTGTGGAGTGAGATTACAGACCATCTGTCTGAAACAGTAACTTCAAATGGGGTATTATAGTGTATAATGCGGTTCATGTCTACAGTTATTGGCATTATCTCAGGTTCACTTCCACTGCAGTAACACTAGGGGGAACCAAATAGCCACAAATCACCACAAATCATTAGAATAACCAATTTAATTATAGTACAGTGTTCACCTCAAAATAGAGGTAATTAGGCAACAAGAAACAGATTTAAAGTCATTTGTAAAAGAATAAAATGAAGACCTAGAAGGCGGCGCACGGTTGACTTCTCTCTTACACTGTTTGCTCGCTCTGATGCTTTCACCTGATTGGGCACAGGCCAAAAACACATTTCACTCTCTGTAACCCCACATCAGCTCAGCCCACCCCCACTTGAAAAAGAAATTTGCCACCCGTGCTGCAGTTCGTCTACACTCTTTAATTTGAAGTCACTCCTACCAAAGCGTGTTCCCTCAGGTAGAAGTGCGCACTGTAGCCCGTTATTCACATTCACAGCTTTATTGAATAACAACACCTCAGTGGATCTACCAAGGACATTGCCTTCGAGCTACTTCAGTACAGCGTTTGTTTTAAATCTAATTTTGAATGTGGTTTTTTTTTTTCCTTTTCTTTTCTCCCCTCCATGGATGAGACCTGAGAAAAAAGTTGGCACTTGGCAGGAGACTGCTTTGCGTAAAGGACCGAGTCTGAATCATGTATTGCGCAGAATCTCTGCTCACTTACGATTAATTTACATGAGAGAGGCGCATCTCCATCTCACAGGATGCGAGTAGCGCGCTGAATGGTTTTGGGAAAGGGGGTACCAAACTTGCGTAAAAGAGCCTGATTCTGCACAATTACTGATTGCTTGTCACAAGTAAGTTGATTGACACGATGTCAGCCTTACGGAGGAAATTTGGCGAGGACTACCAGGTGGTCAACACCAACCAGGGCATTACTTTTTCCGCACCGGTGAAGAGAAAGAGGCAGCGGTTTGTGGAGAAGAACGGCCGCTGCAACGTCCAGCACGGTAACCTTGGCGGGGAGACCAGCCGGTACATTTCTGATCTCTTCACTACGCTGGTGGATCTGAAGTGGCGCTGGAACCTACTGATCTTTATCCTCACTTACACAGTGGCGTGGCTGGTTATGGCTTCTATGTGGTGGGTGATCGCCTACATCCGCGGCGACCTGAGCCACGGCGGCCACAACGACTCCTACACCCCGTGCGTCGCCAACGTGTACAACTTTCCCTCCGCGTTTCTGTTTTTCATCGAGACCGAGGCGACCATCGGGTACGGCTACCGCTACATCACGGAGAAGTGTCCGGAAGGCATCATCCTGTTCCTCTTCCAGTCGCTGCTGGGGTCCATCGTGGACGCCTTTCTCATCGGCTGCATGTTCATCAAGATGTCGCAGCCGAAGAAACGCGCGGAGACGCTGATGTTCAGCCAGTACGCGGTCATTTCGCAGCGGGACGGGAAGTTGTGCCTCATGTTCCGAGTGGGGAACCTTCGAAACAGCCATATGGTGTCCGCGCAGATCAGGTGCAAACTCATAAAGGTAGGCTACAGGTTATACAGCGGAGGTGCGCAATATATCCAAAATCACCACACTAGTAGGCACACTTTGGCGCAGTGAGCTTTCGCCTCTTGCTCCATCTCGAGTCTTAAAATGCCATTATCAAGGCTGAGACTAATTGACAGCCCTTTAATTTGTTTTGAAATTGCCCATTATGTTTTATGAGTGCTTTCCAAGTCATGCATTGCATTTCCATTCATCTGCAGAATTGATTGCATTCCCTGAGGGTCTCTGGGATTTGCAGAGGCTATGGTTTTTAGCGCGAGGCTCCAACATAAGATGTATTTTAATGAGTGACCATTTACATTCCGCCCCCTGTAGCAACTGCTTCAGTCCTGGATTTGTCTTAATGTCTGAGCTGCAGAGTGTGTTTCCTTGGTACAGTCAGGGTCCTCACTAACTCTCAGTCATGGGCCGTATCTTAAGTTCAGCCTCTGCTTCAACTGTCCTATGAGATGAATGGGCCCCCAGGGGACAATAGGTGTAGAAGCCAAGCTGATTGATTGAGGGATCAATTGCATCAATTCCTATATTCTTGCCTTAAGGCAAAATGCCACTAATCTGAAACACTTGGAGCGGACAGTGATGAAGTATGAAGTTGGTTTTAGTGCTGAAAAACCAAATTAAAAGGACTAAATTTACTAAACCACACCTAGGACACTACTTTGGTTTAATTTTCTCAAAAATTTGTGCAGAAAAAGCCACATGTCCATGCACCACATTTCATCACATGTAATTAAATGTTTTGACTGCTGTGTGTTTAATGTACAACCTGAGCATTCTCTCACAGTAGCAGGCATGTCTTAAAGATGAGATCTACTTTATTCCAGTCCAAACATTAGTCGAATCTAAAGGAGAGCTGTGCTTTGTTGTGACATGGAGAGTTAGTTGTGCTTTTGTCGTCCCTGCGGAGAAGCGTGATGATCTCAAGTGACACTTTACTTTCTGAACCTAGGGAGAGAGAGAGAGAGAGAGAGAGCCCACAGTATGTTAGTATCACCATTAGTACATTTATATGGTTATACATAATGCCTTGTGTTGCAAAGGCATCATTTAAAATAATGTTTTCTCTTCAGTCATTTTTCATTTGATTAGAGTACAAAAAACTGAAATAGTATCCATTATTGAAATTAAAGTCACTCAGTTTAACACATTAAAAGCCACGATTTAATACTTATTACCACCAATGTTTCAGCTCTCTCTGGAATGAGTTTTATTTAATTTCATCATCGTTTACTCTTTAATTAACAGCCTAGAAAGGCAAAGAGAAATATGGTGTGTTAATTACAATTAATCAACACAGCATACAGAGGCCGATAGTTCCACTGAGATTAATATTCTGTTATAGTTGTCCATGATGCTTTAGTCAGAATCAAACAGAATTAAAGCAGTAGGATAGTCACTCATGGGGCCTAATGTCATGTTTGACCTTGGTTAGATTTGTCTTCACAATGAGTGTGCCAAATTTGGTAGAATTACTTCCCTTTATGGAGCTGATTTATTATTAAAGACGGATTGTTGGGATACATTAAGATGATGGTCTTTGTTTGAGGCCCAGTGGAAGGGTGTCACACTTGTAGTTTGAGCAGTTCTGATTGACAACAGTAAAAGCAGAACAAGCTGCAAACGTGCTGCAGTACTGTTGCAGAGTATATACATTATGGAGAACCAGTGCTTCAGCCACACTGTGCCTTACTCAATTTTGCCTTTACCTCTAAGGTCTTTTTAAAACGAGTAAACCTGCGTGAGTGTAATATAATTACTGCAAGAGGGATTGGGAACGTTTGCAGTTTAAGTTGTTTTCACCCATCTTTTTTTTCCAGATTTTTTTTTTGTTAACAGTCCTTGGCTCTCTCTCAAAGATCATTTTAATAAGATTTATGTGATGTCCCTGATCTTGGATTTCTGCCAGTAAATAATGATCTTTTAATATGATCATTGCATTTTATTTTAAGCCACAACTATCCATGTGTTCGTGGAAGGTCAGGCATCCAGGACTTTCCTCTTTATTCACTATAAAGCATCACATTTCACGTGCCATCAATCATGCCCACAGGACAAACAGTAAACAATCAAAATGTGCGTTCTAAGTTCACTTTTATCCAGGGCAGTTTCATTATGTTTCATGGATTTTGTTGGACAGTGGTTTGGACAATATCTTGAAACATATTAAGTGATTTGCTTTATTTTTTAGATCAAGCCTCTATTTTCTTTCGATTTCAATTAAGAAGGCTACAGTGTGCAGGATACCACTGTAGGACTGCTGCAATGTTCTAATGTGTCTTTTAATGTGTTTTAACGGACACAGTGATGTTTTATAGCCCATAAAGCTACTCTGTTGTGTTGTACAGCAGGGGTATTGTAGAGTAAATGGACTCTACATCACCCCGTAGTTCTATACATGCACTGTGGAAACAATGCCATGGCTTGTGTTCAGGTAACACGCAGCTCAAGGTCACTGTGAGATGGGTTGCGCACAAAGCTGACTGGAGCAATGAGACATGCTGCAGTAAATCCTGATGATGGAGCTGTGTAAACGCACTGTGACATGGCAACTGCAATCAAGTGTATATTGGGTTGTAAATTCTTATGGGACATGGCTACTCTGGATTTAAAAAAATGAAAGTTGGTTACATTTTTCATTAGCATTATTATGTAAAGTTATTATGCAGGACTGCATCTTATAATGTTTGCATGTTTGTTAAAACAGCATCTCAGCATGTTTGTTTGCTTAAAATAGATACGCATCTTTTAGTGAAGCATATTTTGGTGCAGTATTTGAACTCTTTTCAACTTCATTGTGTTCACAATTAGTTCCAGGAAGCAGTGTAGTTTACTCAAACTGACAACAACTCAATTCCAATTATAAAAATAAGATAAAAGCAATATTTTAGATTTGTTTCCAGTGAGATATAATTGAGTTTATATAGTCACTTTGCTGTTGCTGCTCTAGAAATAAAGTTTAGTTACATATTCAAAATATAAATTCTAATCCTGTTCAGGACATCTTTCTTGCTAATATCTGGGTGTAATGTGAAAAACTACAACCTGGGAGTCTTAAAGAAACTAAATACTGTGCCATGCATAGTTTTTAGTCAAATAATTTCAAAATTGTGTGGGGGAAGACACCCAAACCCCACAACCCCCCTAACCACAACCAGAGCACCTAAACCCCCCGGATGGCTAGGCAGAGTCAGCTAACGCAACGGACAGCTAGCTGCACAGCTAACTGAGCTAATGGCAGCTAACGTTACAGGAAGCAGCACATCTGGCACATCCCTGTCCCTGTACTTCATGAGTGTGCTGTGCCTGGAGCAGCATCTAAAGGAATCCATGACAAGCTGATGTTGGCGTAAAGAAGAAAAAAACATGAGCATTTTGCCCACAGGGGTTACTTTTACATATGTTCACCTCATTATCTGAAACTTTATATGACAAGCTTAATAGTCCACACTTGATGTGGAAACACAGGACTCTCCCGGATGATATAACAACCATATAGGTGTTTGTTATGGCCATCAGTTTTGATTATTTCATCTTCAGTTCTGAGAAATCATGTTTTATTGGTCTATATACTCCAATAACCATGAGCCTCAGCCACCGTTATTATATTATTCATTATGCAATGTTTCTTGCAGAAATTCCCCTTGGGAATTGTACCCAAAGTTTTTATGTAGCCCACAGGGGCTTGTACCTTTAACCTTTTCAAAGACCCATTTACCGTTGTTAATATTGTGTAAGATTATCTACAGACAAAATGAAAAGGACCGAAATAGCTGCTCCCACTTCGCAACTTTATATAGTGAGTTCAAGTGATGTGGGAGCTTTTGGCTCACTTTTGGAGTGCTTTCTTATATTTGGTATCTGCTTGAAAATATTATGTTTAATATTAATAATAATGATTGTTATTATAATTAATAATGACTGTATTTCATAGATACTATACTTATTGCAGTTAGACACAAATGTTGTGTCAATGGTCACTGAGTTGTAAAAGCCTTCACTTCAGTTTGTGTCTTAAATAACAAATTTAAGCCACAAATTAGAAACAGTTTTCCTTGACAGGACTGTGCATTTCTTCTATATACATAATGCATACTAATTTAAAAAGATAACTGAATTTACATTAATATTTATGCAGCTTTCATTAATAAATCAATAGAACGCAGTGGTGTAGTGACCCCTGCAGCACTGACAGAATATTATTTTTAAAATAAAGAAACATGCTTGCATTTGCTTTGCCAGCAATGCATGGAGGACAGATATTCATCCTAGCAAGAGAAAAGTACTCACACAAGAGAGAAACAAGCAGTAAACAGCAGCGATTTGGCATACAAAAAGACAGAGGGAGAGAGTGACAGATGGGCGGTGCTTGTCAATGTCAACAAAAGCTTGTCTCAGTAGGTTAGTCCACAGCAGGAGATAACTGATAAGGGCTAGTAGTAGCAGATAGACAGGCCTGGATGCAGGCGTTTAGCTAGACAGACAGGGAGACATGTCAGCATGACTCCCCACATCTGCCACTGTCTAACTCTGAAGGACAAGCAGAAAGAGGAAGAGAAAGAGAGAAGAAGAAAGAAAAAAGGCAGTGCTGTCGAGGGACTGGCAATGGCAGCTCAGATGTGACGTCTGTATGAGCATATGTTTGATGTCCAGCCCAAAGCTCAAAGGATCCAGCTGGACACACATGGACATATGCACACACAAATGCATTAAAAACACACACAAGTGGACAATGTCGCACACACATTTCTAACTTTCACTGTTTGTGTTTCTGTGCATCTCTCTCTCACACACTCACTGTCATTAAAGAGGAAGTGTGTCACCAGGGATAGGGCCTGCTTTCACTCAACATGACTCTCAGGTGGCTTAGTAAATTAAGCACTCCCTCCATATCAGGTCCTCTTCCAAATGCCATTAATTTCCCCCTTGTGGCACTGACTGTTTAGCGGCAGTAAGAGAACACACAAGGCTTTCACCTTGTTAAAACCATTCAGTGTCAAGCAGGTTGCTCCTTCCTTGGCAGAGGTATAATTTTGTTGCAACACTATGCTGTTAGTCAATAGAGCTATGAACAGTATCTCAAAAAACTAGCAGCTTTACTTTCATAACTAGAATGGCTTAAATATGACTTCCCAGGAAATTGGTTTCCAGTCTCATTTCCAGACTTGTATGAACATCGCTGACAAATGGGACACCTGCATGCAGTATCTCAATGACAATTTACATTTTTAAATGATTGGGAGAAATAAATTAATATATAAACATGACAGGCTTTTTTAAAATCATGTCATGTGCTCCTCTCACTTAAAGGGAAATTATCTGTTCATAATACAGATATTTCACATATGAACATAAGACAGAAAAATAAACAATTCTTCGCTGAAATTGAATGAATTAATGTGTATTTTAAGGAACAATTTGGGAAATATGATAAGATTTATACCAATTAATGTTAAATATAAGGCCAGAGCCAGCAGCTGGTTAACATAGCTTAGCATAAAGATAAAAAAAACAGCCTGGTTCTGGTGTATTAAACAAGATACAGTATTTGATTTTGTTACCTTTGGAAAGAGCCAGGATAGCTGCTTGCCCGTTCCAGTCTTAATGCTAAGCTATGTTGGCTGCTGGCTGCATATTTAGCGTACAGACATGAAAGTGGTGTCAATCTTCTCATTGAATTTTCAGCAAAAAAGGGAATAAGTAAATTTCTCAAGATGTCAAATCATTTTTTCATCTCTAAGTGGCTTCAGACCAAAAACAGCCCTGCGTTGGAGTGGACTTGTTGTTTAAGGTACCAGGGAGAAACACGGGCCAGCCTTTGCTCCCCAAGTGCATCAATGAGCCTTGACCGCCCATGAACCTGTCGCCGGTTCACCGCTTTTCCTTCTTTCCTTCCACTTTAAAAGTCGGTCAAAGCCTTACGCTGCCCAATTTCTGCTTCTAACACATCAATTTTGAGGACAAAATGTTCCCTTTCTGCCTAATACAACCCACCCACTTCACTTCACCTGTCAGTGGTAGTAATGTTATGGCAGATTGGTGTGTATTGAATATATGTGATTGGCTAACATAGTGCCTGGATGAGCAAAAGTTCAGCCAAATTAAAACTTTCTGCTAAACAGATGTGCCAAAAATGAAGTTATAGTATTTCATTTATCATAAGAACATACCATGCAGACTGGTAGTTTAAAGGACAGCAGGCGGGAAGGCTTTTTATAGTCTTTCTTCTTTTTTTTTATTGTCCACACTTGTTCTGTTATGTAAAACATTCGCCTTTTTTGTAGTATTTTAGCCTGATTTAACTTTACCCACCAACATAGGCTCCCTGTCTGCGTATTCCGGGAGCGGCCATCACTGATACAGCATGATGCGGTGACACTTTCCCTCACCAAGGCGAGCCAGGGATCTGTGGGCACAGACGTCTTCCTGTGAAATGTCACACCCTTCTGTCCTCAACATCACTGTGAATACAAATGACAGTCTGTTTGCCATCTGTGGACCAAGTGGCTCCTCACTCAAAGGGCCAGGGAGACTACTCTGCATACAAGTTAACATGAGACAACAGAAAATACAAAATGAATTCAGCATTGGCAGAATATAACTTGGTTTAGGTGATACGTTTCTTTGTGTTGTCAGTGGAGCGTCAGATCTTTTGTAAATTCTTCACTCTTGACCAAAGAGGCTTGCAACTGACAGCCAGTCAGTTTAATAAGAGTTTAATAAGCTCATAGAGAGCCTTCTCCCTAATCCCATGTTTTTTTTAGCTTGGTTAGCCAAGAGCAAGCACTAGTGTCGTCTCTGTAATCTAATGATACTTGTCTTAGAGAGTTTTTAAGTACTCTATACTGGCAGTGTCTCTGGTCTGTTACCAATGCTCATGTTTTTTTTTACACCCTTATTCTCACCTTAATCCAGCATATCTGCTAGTAAAATCAAGGTCCTAAGAACACCTTTTTATTGTTGTAGTCTCTCCTGTGTGTATTGTTCCACTGTCTATCACTATATGCAAAAATATGTCAAAGTATTCCTTTTTTTTCTCCTTTCCTTTATTTTCATGTAAAAATCCATCCATGTCGCTGCCAAAAGTGTCAAGAATCTTTTGTTGACTCATCCAGCTCTCAGAGGCAAATAAATAATCCATCCAATAAAATGTCATCATAGATTTTTTGGGGAGATTCAGCCACCCCTTCCCATTTTACAAAAAATGCAGGTCTGTCAAGCAAAACTGGCTGTAAACGAGCAGACCAGTCCTAATTGGGGATGATTGACGCAATTCTGAACAACTATGATCACTTCAAATATGCAGGTTTTTACCTGACTGCTTTTGAACTCATGTGGAACCATGTCAAATCACAGAAGAAAATTGCCTTTTCAAAGATATTTCATGGGACCCTTAACGCTGCTTCAAATCCCATCAGGGTTACACCTGCAAAAAAATACATCCACATACAGTAGGTCTAAGCGGTTTTAGATGAAAATTGTCCTCTAAAGTAGCACATATTATCCAACAGAGGTAATATAACGACTGTCCTGGCCTCACAGACTGCACACCAGTCATCATCAAGGTTGTAAAACCCCTGAAGTCATGTGGAAAAACCTTTTTTTTTTTTTTGCCCAACAACAAAAGCACTGCCTTGATTCTGGACTCCAGCTAGCTTCTAGCTAACCCAATCAGCTGAGTGCAGTAGCTTTATATGTAAGGTTGCAGCCAGTAGCCAGTTAGCTTAGCTTAGCATATAGACTGAAATCAGGGGGTACATACATTTAGACAGATGTATTTTTTAAGTTAAATATTTCAGTGCTTTAAATTCAGTGGTATTTAAATATAATATTAAACATTTAGTAATGATTCAATTTCCCAATTAGATGTTAAGTTGCTAATAAGATTCAAAAAATGATCCTGAATTATCACTGTCAAGTAAAAATGTAAATTTAATATGTCAAGATTGTTTGTTTTTCCAGTCTCGACAGACCCCAGAAGGCGAGTTCCTGCCCCTGGACCAGTGTGAGCTGGACGTGGGTTTTGGGACGGGGGCGGACCAGCTCTTCTTGGTGTCGCCTCTGACCATCTGCCACGAGATCAACACCAAGAGCCCATTCTTCGATCTGTCACAGCGCTCACTCATGAACGAGCAGTTTGAGATTGTTGTCATCCTAGAGGGCATTGTGGAGACCACTGGTTAGAGCAAAATCTTACTTTTGAATACAAATGTTTAAAAAAAAAAATAATAATAACTTGGAATAAGCTTCCCTTTTCCTAATCACTTTTTTTCATCATCAATTTCCCTGAAGCATATACCATTTCTCTGTAATATAAAATAAAATATTTAACAGAATGTTTAATTTCATGGTCTTTAATTATTCAAAAGCACAAGCTCTTCTCCATCTTCTCGTATTTTTTCTCTACATATTTCTGTCTCTCTTTTGCTTGAAGCAATTCTTAACTTTTTTTTCTGTTCCCTGTCTGTCTATTCTTATTTAATAGCCCACTTTATACAGTTTTCTTTGTAATGTTACAGTGTTCTATGTAATCTTATTCTTGTCTGTATTTGAAGTATTCCTCTACACCTTTGTCTCTTCACTCAATCGTAGGTATGACGTGCCAAGCAAGGACATCTTACACCGAAGATGAAGTCTTGTGGGGCAATCGTTTCCTCCCTGTCATGTCACTGGAGGAGGGGTTCTTCAGAGTTGACTACTCCCAGTTCCACAACACCTTTGAGGTCCCTACACCTCCATACAGCGTCAAAGAGCAGGAGGAGAAGTCCTCGTTGACATCGCCAAACCCTCTACCTGTTGCACCCACACCCTCCTCCCCCCTGCTGGGTAATGGTGGCCGTGGAGCCCGCAGAGAAAGGCTCCTGTCAGCTGACTATGCAGACCACGTAGAGGACCAAGCCTCCAGGCTGCCCAGAAAACTCCAGCGCATGAGCTCCACCAAGGAGGAGCTCCTCTGGAGGGGGCTGAAGACAGGGCCAGCCTTGCCTGGGGGGAAGGCCTCCAGCACAGGAGACCTTCCGCTTAGTATTCAGAGGCTGAGGTCCAGCTCCATCCCGGTCACGATGCAAGGACAGCCGGAGGAGCAGGTCCAGCTGTTGTCCTTAGATGGAGATGCTGAAGAGGATGAGCTGGAGAAACAGAGACTGCCAGCAGCCATTAGGACCATCACTGCTCCGACCCCACCATTAGTCCAGATCCCCTTGGTAGGGAGTCGACCAGAGGACAATCTCCCCGCCAAACTGCGCAGAATGAATGCTGACCGCTGATTTCTGCAGACTATCTTTAAGCCTAAAAACATTTTGAAAACTAAATCAGGCTTGATGGGCATTGCATATAAATAAGGACTACTGTGATATAAGTTTTATTTTTTCCTGCAACTTAGGGGCTCTATACTAAGTTGTCGATTGCCACAAATAGAAGGACAACACCAATAAGCCATCCATCCGCTCATACTGTGAGTCATTTTTGATAGACTACCATCTGTGCCCCCCCCCCATTGATTTCTTACACTCCTGCCCTTGTGCTTGTTTCTTTCACTTCTGTTTGTAGAGTTCGTGCATCAAATACTTTATTATCTGAAAAACAACTAAACTTTTTTCAATAAAACAAGCACCAAAGTGACAGTCGTGACTCACCTGAAGTGACTGTTTGCAAAACCCCTCCCCTGAACAGCAACTGAACTGTCCAATCCTAGGTCAGCAACCGTAACTAGACACAGCCAGTCTGTCAAGCTTTGGATTTTTTCACACACTTCCAGCGGTCTACATTGTACTGTTTATTAGGATAAAGACCCACTAAAAGTGATGCAATGCGATGCAAAATTTGCCCCCATTCATTTTCCACGGGATACGAGCGAAGCATTATGGGATTCCATGCAAAGCAGGACTGACCAGCAATGTGAAAAAAGAGATGGTCAAAAGTTGAACATTTTTAACTTAATGCAAATAAGGGGCCGGATTCCGAATTCACTTGGTGGCTATGCAGTATTTTTCTGTAAAACTGACAAACAAAAAAGCAATGCAGTGGTGGGACGGGATGTTTAGTGTTGCTGCTGTGGAGATCATACTTTCTGATCATACTTTCTGTTCACTCTTTTTCTTATGTCCCTGGCCTTCAGGATTGCATTACAAACAAAATGCTGCTTGGCACAAAGTCACTTAAACTCTGGGAGTAGCTTGTGAGCATTGACACACCCACCACAATGAGTAAGAAGTGGCAGAGACTAAAGCGTCTTGTAGACTCGCCGTTCCCGACCTGTCGCGCGACAATGTGAAGTCACGGGAGCACCGTAACTATTTCTACTGTCGCTGGTGGTGGCGACACTCGCTGCAGTCTTCTCCTGAACAGAGGGTGTCCACAACTGAGGAAGGCTATGACTTTGCTTTTTACGCACTTAGAGAAGAAGATAAAGGGTAACAATGGCGACCTCTTTTTTTGATTTTCCAAATCGGTCGCGGGAGGATTCTTCCAAATTTTCCAGCATATGGCCTCCTCTCTTCCAACATTCATGGCGATTTCTCGCCGTGAATTCAGGCATCTGTGTTCCTTCATTGAAGGATCGTACAGATGCCTGTAGAGGTGCACTTGCTCAGAAAGCTTCCTGTTTCCGGTTTGGCTGAAGCTGAAAAAAAATGAGTGGTGCGCGACCTTGTGTGAGCGGGCCAAAATCCTGGCGCGCCAGCAAGATCTACATCATTTGGACGTCACAGTGTGGTGCGACAGGTCGCGAATGGCGAGTATACTGAGGCCTTAAGGCTGCACCATATGGTAAAAACATCATATTGCGATTATTTGGACAGATATTGTAATGCAATATGATTTGCAATTAGTGCAATTTTTGCATCACAAATGTAATTTTCACAGAAAAAAATATTAAAATCCCAATGATGCAACATTTTTTAGGGTCTGTAGCACGCAAACATGTTTTCTTTAATCTAGAGAACAAGATTTGTTGTCCAGGGCATCTCTGCAGCACTACAACATTTCATTATGAAGCTGTTTTGTCACACATTTTAGCTTTATCAAATAACTGCAGCTTCTGCGGTTTGAATATCGCACTTGGCCATATAGCGATTTTGATAATACTACAATTAATTGTGCAGCCCTAGCAGAGACGAAGTAGTGTGATTAGGAGCATATTTATGTTACCCAGGGTCCTATGTTCCCTAACCCTAATGCTAACCTGGAAAGGGAGACATAAGTGACAGAGTTGTGATCTGAAACTACACCGCTAGATGCCACTAAATTCTACAGACTAAACCTTTAATGGTTGGCTAGAAATGAGAAACCTGCTTTTACCCACCTGTCTGTGAAATCAAGCACCTTTAGTTTCGAATTTTGAGTAGTAAATCTTCCACTGTTGTCTTTGTAAACTGCATACAAAAGCTTGCCAGGCGTAGCGACAGTAGCTATGGGGGACAGGGCTTAGCAAACAGTCAATCAACCTGATACACAGGTTAGGTTGAAACACTATATTTATTTATCACTTGTCCTGAGTATTTGTTTATGTGAATGCTCATTTGAAGTATGTTTACTACTGTACAATTTTAACTATTTTTACCTCTTGGTGCAGTGTTTGCATTGGCCCGTTATACGCAAGGGTGACAAAATGTAATCACAGATGAATTTTGGACTATGGACTTTCTTTCAACATCAACAGATTTATTAAAATGTAAATCAAATATTTGGGAATGCAGGGATGCTGACATCAGGGGATACATGTATTATTGCTGACATAAAGGAAAGATAAAACTTTATTGCAACTGCTAAATAATAAATAATTTGAAATCACAAGTGTGTCTGGGTGTCTTATTCTCTTTTTTTCTTCCATGGAAAAATGCTGTATCACCATTTCTGTGGGATTCCTGACTGTGATTTCAACACCCTGAGGTATTGCAGCCTGTAAAATGCCATCAGCAGCTTGTGTCACCTGCTGTGGTGGCTATACCAACATTCATGAAATATTAATGACTTAAATTTGATGTCAGTTGTTTCTAATCTGAAGCAAATTTTAGGAGGACAAGAGTTCAGAGTAAAGGAAACCCCAGACACAATCCCTCTGGTGGCATTTAAACACTGGCTGTTAGGTTAACGTACTTTACTCTTTCGTCTGCTCACTTGAAATCAAAGCCCTTAACCTTCTCCTCTGGCTGCGGCTTCAGCTAATTACTTCAGTTATCCTGAAGCTGGCAGGAGTCTTTCTACTAGCTTGGTCAGTGGCCACTTAGTTAATTTCATCTTGATTGTGGCTATCAAGATGGTAGGGCTCCAGAGGAGGGCGATTTTCCAGACATTACACAACTGAGGATGTCCAGAGCTAATTAGTCATACTGCAAAAAATAGCACAAAACAGAAATTTGATTATGTAACTCGTCGACAGTACAAAACGACCTCTGTCCAGCTTAAGATAAAATTAACTTAGATAAATGATGGGGGTAAGAATAAATCACAGACCATCCTTCACACAGACATAATACTGTATAATGATGGATTCAGCTGTGAAGAAAATCTGTTTTGCTCATTCCTCTATCATTAAGATATGCTCAGGAAAGGGATTAGACAAATTTCCACTTCATTTGCACTTCCTTGGTGGAATGAAGGTCATTACATCCATAAAAAGATATAATGTAATGTTGTTGGCAGTAACAGGGGCTTTAATGGGAGCACCCTAGTAATGAGAAGACCAGTTCTTCTACGTAACCTGCTAAACTAACCTCCTCTTCCCGACCTGGGGGTTGCTGAAACTCCCTGGGGGCAGAGGGGGGGAGTCACGAGGCCTTCTTGATTTTAAGGGGTGTAAGGAACGAAATATACACACTAGGCTTAGCATTTTGTTCCCGTCTGTGAAGGGGGCAGAAAACCCAGAATTTGTCAGAAAAAGAAACCTATTAACTATGTGTGATTGTTAGAAAGGATAAAAATACATAATACAAACAGATAATTGTATAAACAGTATGCCAAACAGGAAATAATCTGCTCAAAATCTATCCAAATCACTCCTTTTACAGTAACTTTTTGCAGTTACTGAGTTTGCCTTTTGGGTTCATTGCAGATTTGAATATATTATGGAATATCCATAGAATAAGCCACTTAAGCAGGGGTCATCAGTTTACGAAATGATAGAAAAGGGGTCCTTTAAGGAAAGAGTTTGGGAAGCAATGGTTTAGACGATATTATAGATCCAAGACGAAACTGACAGAAAAGGGTGGGACTGAGAGAAAAATTACATTTCCTTCTGCTACTTCAACACAACAGTACTTTGGTTCAGTTCACTTCAGTACTTGAATTCATCCAATCCATTTAAAGCTCTTTTTCCAGTGGCTTGGCTCCTTCACGTTTACCAGTTTTCAAGTCGTCACATGTAGTGTAAAGTTGCATCATGCCACCATAGAGACAGATGTGGGTGAGGAGCGTGACTCTGTGGGCTCTGTATGTCTGCATGTTTATCTTCGTGCATAGGGAAACACAGCGAGAAGCTCTCAGGAGGAGCACAGCAACCAGATCACAAATCCACATTGACCAGATGCTCATCCATAGTCAATGAGCACAAAAAGTGTCGCTGCTCTACAGCACAGCGCCATTAGCTTTGTGAATTGAGAGATCATGGGGATTCAGCGATAAACTCTTGACACAGATACAGTCATTTAGAGGTACCGGCAGCTATGAATAAATCTGTATCTATGAGCTAATGTCACTTTGTTGTACAGTGAGTTTGCTCTAACTGAAGAAGAAACCATCAAACCTCCGCACAAGGTGGAGTCAGAGTTTCCTTCCCTCTCTTACTGTAAATACACACCACTTCTTTTGTTCACCTTCAAAACAGACACAGAAATATCACAGCGTACAAAACTTTAACACAAATATTTTATAATTAGATTATTTAAAAATATTCAAATTGTCATGAGAGAGTTTCCTTTTGATCACCATGAGAGATGGAAGCAGGCATCATTTACTCGTGGTGTCAGCTGTGTTGTGCCCACAGGCTTGCTCTGGGCAGCCTAGGTAAATAGTGCCGAGCTCTCCCCTCCAGAATCTCAATTACTTTTCTTTCTTTGCTTTCTCCCTGAGTCACCGTACATCAATTCAAGTGCTCTTTATATCTGTGGTGTCCAGCTAAAATTCCAGACTGAGGAGTTTAAAAATTAGTTTTGGGCAACTCTAAGAGAGAAACAATTCGTGCTTGAAAAATGTTTATTTCAGGATACATTTTTCTCAGCTATTTTTCACCTTTACTGGAAACAACTGAATACAATAAAAGAAATGCAATCTCAGAGTTTTATTTTTTCTGCAGCAATCTAAAATTATTTCCAAAATAAAATCTTTTCTAAACAATGTTTAAGTTAAACCTGAAGGATAGAATAATGCAGTTTGTTTCTCTGAGAGAAGGATTAATTAGATACAGTTTAATTACATTTTTGCTGCAGTCTCACTTTACACCTAAATAGTTCAGCATCGTACCACATGGAGTTAGATGATTGCCTTCTGCTAAAAACTAAACAGCATGATAGAAAAGTTTCTGCTAAATACATTTTCTTCCTGGAAATTGTTAATAATCAGAGAATGTCCTGGAAAGAACTTTTAGTATCTTAAATCACTGGAAAACTTCAAATCTCAGAGGCCTAACACCCAATCCCTTTTTCTGACAGTTAATTACATGTAGAGTTTATTAAACTATTGATCCTGGTCCTATTTTACAGTCTTTATTGCAGCAGAAGTTATGCAGGTTTTTTAAAATATGAAGGGTTCGAGCTGTAAAAAGGGTGTTACTTTTTCAATAACATTAAAGCAGCTGTAATCCATATTTTTATATTAACAATGATCGCATGACTGTGTTATTTGAAAGGGGTTGCTCATAATAACAAACTCACAGACATTTATCACCCAACAGAGGCTGGAAAAAGAGGAGGTCATCATCAGAACCCCACATAGCTGTCAGGAAACTCCCTGTGAATATTAACACAGGCTCGAATGACATCTCGTATCCTCCGTCCGATGAAGCCTCAGCTCACAAAGCTTCGACAGGCTAGATGTGTCATAACATCTATCTATGGTGTGTCTCTTACTCTTTTTTGGGTCTGGTAAATCCTTATTTTTGCTCATCAGAATCAGAATCAGAATTATGTTTATTGCCAAGTAGGTTTTTACACCTACGAGGAATGTGTCCTTATAAAATATACAAATACAAATATAAAATATACACATATATTGACTCATGAGTTATCATGTTAAGTTGGGACAGAACAGTACAGCACTGCATAGGGCAACTGTTTATGAATGACAATAAATACTTTACTGTAT